AATTCAAATTAAAATATGGAATAATATTCATTACAGAAGCTCTAAATATTAAAAATGTAATTGAAACTTAACTGCTTGAACTTGATCGGGGTGTTTTGTTAGTTTAATGCGTCTCCTCCTCTTGAGGTCGCCACTGCTTTTTTGAAGTGGTTGCCAGGTTTTCACAACAAAACCCGCCCCATCGTGTTTCGAGGGGGTCCCCGTTAAAAATCGCGTGCCGAGGATAAAATACGCATGTTTTGGCGGGGTTCCCCTGGTAAAATTCGCATTCCAGGGGCTAAATATCACATTAATGGGGTCGTTTTTCAACCCGCGGACATGAAAAACAACCCGCGGCAACAGTGTTAAAGCAGCCCAATTCCGTGGGAAAACTGCGGACTTGGCAACACTGGAAGAGGATAGCTTTCGGATAGCGCATCAAGAACCGGGTTGACCGGGTACTCGGTACCACCGGTACTTAAAAAAAAAACCTGGTACCGTAACGTTTTCATTTTTTTTAGTACCGACTTGGTACCGAAATGCCGGGTCTTTTGACAACACTAACCTCTTGCCAACAAAGGAGAAGCTTTAAGGGCTTCCTGCTGTTTTTCGCTGAAATAATAGCCTGATTGGCTGAATGAAATGGATATTTATAAATGTATATAATTTCAAACAGCATTTTTATTAAGGCTTTGCTCATGATTAAGTTGCATGTTAAAATTTATTGTAAGGGTTACAATCCCACAAGTAAATGAATATTCCTGAGCTAAGTAGCACGATTCGTAATTTTAAACCCATTTGAAAACTGACTGAGGCATTACTATCAAAATAACATGTCGACATGAAGTAACAGAACTTGAGAATATGATTCAGTGTAACAATTGTTTTCCTGACCCTTCAGGGTGTTGTGGGTAAGAAACCTCCAGTTAAGGCTGGTGCAAAGGATGAGGAGGACAAATCTGGTCCCATCTTCATCCACGTTCCCAACGGCAAAGAGCAGAGGATCAAGGAAGAGAAGACATTAAAGGTGAGCAGTTTTCGAATCGTCCTCATGAACATTTGTCAGCGCTATTGATGCCTAGTCCATGGGTATTTTTATAAACTGAGTTTTTCCTCCTCCATTTAAAAAAATATATATAAATATATCTCGTCCAGATGAAAATGTAAAAACATCCCATGAAGTGCTGTAAAGAGCATGCCAAACCAACAGCTGGCAATATAACCCTAACCGTAAAGCCATGTTGGCCAATTACAGACTCTCCTCATGTAAACAAAGGAGTTTTCAAAAAGGTTCGGTTTCAGTGGCCTGATACTGCGTTTGCGTGTGGACGAATGGCCAAATCGCATAGAAAATGCTGCGGTTTTGAAAATACCCACGTTTGTGTGGACAGGGCCTGAGTAGCAACTTTAGGCTTTTTGGCATGTTTGGTTACCATTTCTCAACTCTTCTCCAGATTCTCAAGTGGAACTTCACGACTCCTCGTGACGAGTACGTGGAGCAGCTGAAGGCTCAAATGTCGACATGTCTGGCCAAGTGGCTCCAAGACGAACTTTTCCACTTTGACTTTCAACGCCACGTAAAAGCTATTGGAGCCATGATTGAGGTTAGTCGTGTCGCAATTGGTGAGTCAAATCATATCAATCTATACAAGACTAATAACTTGCTTATTTTTCAGCACATGGCGCCAGAGTGCGAGGCTGTGATTAGCTGTCTAGACCTGATATTGAAGTGGTTTACTTTGCGGTTCTTTGACACAAACACTAGTGTGCTGATGAAAGCCCTGGAGTTCCTCAAGCTGCTCTTCACCATGCTGAGCAGGAAGAACTACCAGCTCAATGACTATGAGGCCTCATCTTTCATCCCCTACCTGATCCTCAAGGTGGGTCTTTATCCATCCAAACATTAATTTTGGATAGCATGCATCTAATTTGTTGAAATAAACAACAGCCTAACATGGTGCCTTTTGGTGTCTTGTCCTTCAGGTTGGAGAGTCAAAAGATGTGGTGCGTAAAGATGTCAGAGCTATTCTGACAATGTTGTGTAAAGTCTACGCGGCCAGTAAAGTCTTCCCCTTCCTTATGGAGGGGACCAAATCAAAGAACTCCAAGCAGAGATCTGGTAAATGCACATGGATTTGGTTTCTCAAACACAAAAAGGGTCATTTTTACAGTAGAAAGTGTCTTTATCGTGACTGTTTCTGTCTTATTCGTTCTTCAGAATGTCTTGATGAGCTCGGCTGCCTGATTGAGAACTTCGGTATGAATGTGTGCCAGCCGACTCCAGCCAAAGCTCTTAAAGAAATCGCCGTTCACATTGGAGACCGTGACACTACGGTCCGCAACGCTGCGCTCAATACAGTCGTGGCCGCCTACAATGCTTGTGGAGACCAAGTCTTCAAACTCATTGGCAAAGTAAGATGCTAATTACCCTCAAACGTGAACCTTTCACTTTTATTACCATCTTTGGATGTGATGTCACATCCAAACTCAAATTTGAACATTTTATCTTGTCAAGCTGTCTGAGAAAGAAATGAGCATGCTGGAAGAGAGAATCAAACGATCGGCCAAGAAGACGCCTGCAGCCTCAGCCAAACAGGAGAGACCACAGAGAGAGCATCCTGCAAATCCCAATGCAACCTTCCTGCGCAAGCCTGCTCAAGAGGAAGTGCCCAACAAGCTCAAGTATGTACTACTTATTGTCAAGTAACACACTCTTAAAAGAGTCCTGGCCCATGTGTTTCTATACACACACAGTCTCATTCGGTCTCGTTCTGTCCTCTTGTGTCATTGCATGTTGTTTCTTAATCCTGAGCCTTTCTCTTCTCCTCTTACTATTCCTTTCTTTTCTTCGCTGCCCTCCATGGACAGAATAATGTATCGCACTTACAGGATGTAAGTACTGCCGTACAGCTGTAGCCACTGTTCACATGGCACCTGACATCCTGGAGGTCTAGAGATCACAAAAAAACTGGACTGAAATATTTGAGAGATTAGATCATATGGATGACTGATATAGCCAAATATTTTTCAGCCTCATATTTGATATCCCTATGCATTCGCTCTGTGATTTTTTTTTTTTTTTTTATGTAAGGAGTATATAACAGTACAAATGTATTTTGAAAGTAAATCATGTTTCCACACTTTCATAAAATGAACACAAAGGAGATATTTAATTTATGCACCAATATGCTTATGAAATGTATACACTACCATTTAAAAGTTTGGGGTACGTGAGGTTAGGGTTGTAACGATATACCAGTCTGACGGTTTATCACGGTTTGAACATGCACGGTTATCATCCTGTAAATATTTGCATATCTGCGGTTTAAAAAAAAAAATTTATGAAGAAAAAAATCTCACCCGCGCATGTGCAACTTATTTCCGCTCGGCTGCTTTATTCTGCATTCACTTGGCTGCTTGCACGCACACGGAGAAAATAACAGAGACGGAGATATCTAATCTCCATTCCCGCCGCAGTGCAGTATGGGAATACTTCGGATATTTAAAAAAAACGAACACGGGTTTGTCCTCGGACGGATCCAATTTGCAAAAAATGTGGACGCAAAGTGGCTGCAAAAGTAGGCAAAACATCCAACATCTTCGCTCATATTCGCGGACACCATCCCTACGTGCAGACGAAGGAGTGTCGCATTAATAACAAGTGATAAGTTAAGGCCGTATGATTTCAGTGAAGCAGAGGGAATACCGGTGCAGTCGTGAACATGGAATTTACAGTATAACGAGGATGTCACGTAAAACGCACAATCTGATGGATAAATCAAAAGTAGATATGATGTGTCTGAATATTTAAGTGCAAAGAGACAGCTATATAAATAATCTGCTTGTTTCTGCATGTCTCTGAGTGGCGCTGCTTTATCTACTGCATACTGAAGTACACGTGCATAAATGGTGTTTTCAGCGTCTAATAGGGGTGTGCGATATTGACAAAAAATAATATCTCGATATTTTTTTTAAATCATGAAAAAAAAAAAAAAAACGCCAGTAGGTGGCAGCAAATCACTGTTAATAAGTGAGTCATTGCAATTGAATCGAATAATTTAAACGGTTGATTCATTCAAGAACGAAACACCGTCATGTTGCTCAGAGACACAAAACAGCGCTGTGGCTGTATTCTGAATGGTTTTTGCAAAATACTCGATAATGTCAAATCGCACATCGTTAAAACAACAATTACGATATTATTGCAGACGATATATATCGCACACCCCTAAGTTACATAAACCTGAACATCAGCAGAGCTGCTCTGAGAGAAAACTTAAACATTTCCTTGTTTTATTTGAGAAAAACCATTGCCAAATACACTGAAACTCAAAGGTCCGCTACAACCAGTCAAAATAAACGTTCGATTTAATTTGAAATTATGACAGAAATATATTAGAATTGTACAATGTACTTCAAAGTTATAATAACAATAATAATAATAATATTCTTTATAATAAAATTTATTTAAACATTGTTTTCAAGGAATATCATGTTTGTCCATGTTTTAACTTTTAACTTAAAATAAAAGTTGTAAATTTTCATTTGATAACATTTTAAAACATTAATTAAAATGTTAAAGTGTGATTATAGATATACATAAGGTGTACAGCTTTATTTTTTTATTGTTTTGTAAATTTATTTATTTATTTTTTCAGAAGGGAGACTTAGTAAAAACAGTAATATTTTGAAATACTATTACAATTTAAAATGACTTTTTAAAATGTAGTTTATTCCTGTGGTGGAACTGAATTTTCAGCAGCCATACATTATTTTTATTTTGAATTTTTTTTCAGTATTCTTTGAATAGAAAGTTAAAAAAAAAACAGCATTTATTTGAAATGGAAATCTTTTGTAACATTACTGTGACTTTATTCAGAAAGGACACATTAAAATTTATTATTTAAAAAAAAATTCTTACTGACCCCAAACTTGAACAGGGGTCCGTTCTTCGTACCTCGCTTATTTTGCTATACGTGACCGCGTTTAAGTTAATTCTGTGTCATAAAAGCATTTTGAGATTTGAGAAGTGGTCTGCATCTCCCATCAAAGCCACCCGCATAAAAGCTTATTGCTCCAATTAATGCACGACTCAGACAAACTCTACGTGTGCGTGTGACTGTAATAAAATTGAGAATTATTCCTTCACGATTAAATCTCTCAATGAGTAAAACTGGTCGTGTCTATTATTATAGATTTACACAACATCTTAACTATTTTCAAAATCATTAAATTATTTTTATAAAATATTTTTCCTGGTTTAACAACTCTTGTTTAAAAAAAAAATAAAAAATAGCAGTGGTTGGGACAGAGTTTCAGTATCACCTTCACTTAAAATGATACAATCTAATCCTATTGACGTGAAGTAAGCCTTCTACTGAGCAGGTTTGAGCTCACGGACCTGTTGCTATGACAGCAACTCCAGGATGAGAAGAACCTAACAATCCTGGATCATGTCAAATGATAAATCGTCAACCATAAAATCCAGCTAACTGAGTAATCCATGTACGAAGAACAGACCCCAGGAGTGTGTGTATATACTTGTGCAGTGTTTTTGATGAACTACGCAATTTAGCAGTCCTTTGAATGAGGGCACAAATTAATGATTGAATCAGTTTTAGATCATTTCATTTGAAACCATGAACTTCACAAAAGAATCAAATTACCTACTTTTTTTTTTTTTTTTTTTTTTTTGGGGGATAATAGCTTTTATTTTTATTTGTTGACTTTTCTACGTTAAATGCTCCCCTACTTGTAACTATTCCCTTGACACTGGTTAGTAAACTTGAGACAAAAGCACATTTAAATTGGTGACATTCATTGTTGCAAATTTTATATTGCAAGGAAAATCAAAAGTGGATATACGCTTTAATACTTGCTGTCCTTTTTGCTGGTACTGAATCAGAATTTTCGGGGCTCTTATTCATGTTGTGGGGATTATATAGCATAAAAATGCAGCAGAAGTGACCGTTTCCTCCATTTTCAACAGTCAAGCTCGGGCACAGAATGCTCACTTGGAGCAGTCAGCTCCGTCCATCCCAAAAGAGTTTCAGCTGGATCTGGATGTGTTCGAGAACAACCACACATGTGCCAGAGAAATCCCTGACCTGGTGCAGCATAAACTGGATGAAGTTCTGGAGCCGGTCATGATTCCGGAGCGCAAGTAAGAGTTTAGCACAATAGAAGTCTTGTTTTATGTCTGTTAAATGTATTACATGACAAAATATTTTGCCTTCTGAAATGCTAAAGTGTCACTCTTGTTAAATGATTAAAATGTTGTGTTTTCAGGATTCGTTCAGTCTCTCCTCATTTTGATGACATTCACAACAGCACTGCCTCCACCATCAACTTCGTCATCTCCCAAGTGGCCAGTGGAGACATTAACACCAGTATCCAGGCCTTGGCACAGGTGGGCATCCCGCGTCCACTGTTTGGATTCTTACATGTTGAGCAAAAAAATAATTTCTTGACGTGAATACATCAGTAAGAAATTTCCTTGTGATTTTCTGCAGATCGATGAGGTCTTGAGGCAGGCGGACAAAGCGGAAGCCATGTCTGGACACATCGACCAGTTCCTCATCGCCACCTTCATGCAGCTGCGGCTCATTTACAACACGCACATGGCCGACGATCGGCTCGACAAGAAGGACATCTTCAAACTCTACAGCTGTATCATAGGAAACATGCTTTCTGTGAGTGCTGCTTTACTTTTTTTGTTAGGGAAGTGAGCTTTTGCTTCAACATAGAGGATTGCAGAAAGTTTAGGCCTAATTTCCAAACACATCTAGTATTGTATTGCCAGAAACAAAACGGCTTTTATTTGCAGAAAATTGTTTACACATTCAAATTCAGGGAGAGTCTGCAGAGCAAACAAAAGTTATCGTTCTTTGGCGTGCTGCTGAGTCACTGTGTGTCCGTTTCCAGCTGTTCTCGATGGAGATTCTGGCACGGGAGGCCTCCATGGGCGTCCTGAAAGACCTGATGCACGGTCTCATCACGCTGATGTTGGACTCTAGAGTGGAGGACATCGAGGATGGACAGCAGCTCATTCGCTCCGTCAACCTGCTCGTGGTTCGAGTTCTAGAGAAATCCGACCAGACCAACATCCTAAGGTTAGCAGTGCGGCTCCGCTGGGCTACAAGTCCTCTAAAGGGAACTTTGTGTACTGTTCTGTATACATTTGGCCGACACTGCAGACTGACTGTAATCGATGCTTGTAGGTTAAAGGTCATTGTTCTCTTTCCAGTGCTTTGCTGGTGCTGCTGCAGGACAGTCTTATCAGCACCGCCGGTTCCCCCATGTTCTCTGAACTTGTCATGAAGGTACGACTGCTGCACTTTGTGCCCGTATATGCATGTTGACATGTAAACTATGTCATATTGTAAGCAGAACTCTTGGCTCTTGTTTTGTTTTAAAGGGGTCATATGATGCAATTTAAATTTTTCCTTTCTCTTTGGACTGTTACAAGCTCTTGGTGCATAAAGAAGATCTGTAAAGTTGCAAAGACTAAAGTCTCAAATCCAAAGAGATATTCTTTATAAAAGTTAAGAGTCAGCCACGCCTACCTAAAACGGCTCGTTCTAACACGCCCCAACATACCTACGTCGCTCTGTGGGAAGATTTGCATAACGCCTCCCAAATGTTCACGCAAAGAAAGAAGGCGTAACTTTTATTCTCGCTGTAGTTTTGTTGTTTCCGCTGCCATGTCGTAAAGACGCTGTGTGCTTCGTTGTAAAAGCGAAACTACTTTGTTTGGTCTTCCAAAAGAGGACGATATCTGCTTCGTCATGCCTGGAGCTGATCCGTGCTGGTCGCTGAGGAAATACTACAACTTTGCGCTGTGGATCGCCGGATCGGCTTTCACCGTGGACGAAGCGGAGTTCAGCCCGGAGTCGTCACATGTCCTTCCGGACGCTCCTTCGTCGAAATCGCCGGCCGCGCCGTTCTCAAGCCCACCCGCCTCTGCTCACTCTAACCCTCCGGCCGTTCCTCACGCTAGACCCCGGCCTCTGCTCACTGTAGGCCGCCGTGTGTGACGCTGTTTCGTGGTGAAAGTGAAATTACTTTGTTTGGTCTTCCAAAAATGGACACGACTAGAAATCCCTGTAGGACATTAGTTACTTTCCACAACCCAGTGAAATCGTGATGGATAAAATTATCTACTTGGCTGCTAAATTTTTTTGAATTGTATTACACACCCAGAAGTCATGTCAATTAAGTGGGAAATGTTTTGGTGTAACTTTTGTTTGTTTTTGTTTTTCATTTGAATCAATAGAAATTTAATACATTTAATTCCACCCACACATCAGTAAAGGTCATTTCGGAGGAAGAGAAAATAATTTAACATGAACACATTTTTACTGAGAACAGCCTGCACTGATGAATCAATGTGTTCACATCACGTCAGTTGTTAATTGTGCTTTTTCTGACTAGTAAACACCTTTAACATTGTTAACTCGTGATTGCAACTTGAAAACTGAAATTTAGTAACGCTTCCTGTAGACTATTGTGATGTAAAAAACAATAGCAGTTACAGGTAGATGGTGACCTCAACATGCATTTCGTATGCCATTTTATTAGCTGATTGTCTTTTTATGGCAGCACTAATAATTTCCAAGTCAGTGTTGTAAGCTCAAACTATTATATTTCCAATAATTGAAATAAAATATAAATATAGAGGGAAAAACTTTTAACTTTAATTAGTTGCCATTTCTATTTTTGTTGAAGCTGAAGAACTAAAATGTAAACTAAAAAAAAGAAAACTGAAAATATAGAAGCCAATTAAAAATAAAAACTAATAGTATATACAGAACACTGATGTACTAGAGCTAAAAATCTTATTCCAACATAGATGCAGCATAAATAAGGCATTTTTATTGAAGTATGACCTTTTTTGCTTTCTTATCCTCTTTAAATAACACCTATCTCTGTCCCATGCAGTGTCTATGGAGAATGATCCGTTTCCTGCCGCAGACCATCAACAGTATTAATCTGGACCGCATCCTGCTGGATGTGCACAACTTCATGAAGGTTTTCCCTAAAGAGAAGCTCAAACAGCTGAAGAGTGACGTTCCCCATCGGACGCTGAAGACACTGCTGCACACGCTCTGCAGGCTCACTGGCGCGAAGGTACACATTTGAGACCTTTTATAGGGATTGAAAGTTCTTTTATGAAACTTTATCTTTATGAAAGTAATCTGTAAATGGCTCTCTCATAGATATTAGAACACATGTCCATGATTGAGAACCGCAACGAGTCGGAACTGGAGGCTCACCTAAGGCGGGTGGTCAAGCATTCGGCAAACCTCTCCGGACTCAAGTCCGACAAGTGCTCAGAGAAGGGCGCCCTCAGATCGGTATGTTCTGCTGGGTCTCAACTGAAACCTTCATCTTAATGATGCATGGAGAAAATTGTAGTGGTTGATCTGGTTTCTTCAACTGAATTTCAATTTGGATAGGATGACAAAGTGATCATGGCCAAAGTGAGCGACATCCTGTCTGAGATCTTCAAAAAGATTGGCTCCAAAGAGAACACTAAAGAGGTAACACTACAGCTTGTTAAAGACTTTTCGAATTTTGCGAAATAACCAGAATTATTTGCAGTTCTCAGTTAAGTGCTTCCATCAATCAGAGTATGTTGTATCTCAGGGTCTGACGGAGCTGTATGAATACAAGCAGAAGTACTCTGACGCAGACCTCGAGCCCTTCTTGAGGAACACGTCCCAGTTCTTCCAGAGTTACGTGGAGCGAGGACTCCGCATGATTGAGTCAGAGCGTGAAGGAAAAGGCCGAATCCAGACCTCCACAGGTGAGTTGCACCGACTTTTATGTAACGCATACAGAGTTCTGGCATGAAACTCTAGATGGCGCAGTCCGATAGGTCTAACTCAATCTGACCTAATGACATCACATGGCACAGCTGATTGGTTCTCTCCTGTATCGGTAGCCAATGAGCTCGCTGCTCAACATTCAAATATATGACTAGTGCTTGCTGTAGCAGTTGCAGCTTGCTTCAGAAACCCTTCACCTTCCCCAGCTCCACCTGTATAGATCTGCTACGAGGTGATTCATGTATGCTATATGGGGGTTGTTTCATGTATGTTATATTTGCAGCAGCAATATTTCTTACATGCTCACAGCAGCATGTTGTGGATGTATTGGTAGTAGCAAGTCTCGGAACTTGCTCTGACGCAGCAGCGTAGCAGATCTATTCCGCCAAGACCAAATACATTAACATTATGTACATTACCATGCCAATCCCTCCGAGAGTTGTCACGACCGAACTTTTTGTCGTCTTGATTTTGTCCTAGCGAACTAAGGTCTGTGTTGTCTTTCAGTAATCCCTCAGCACAGCACAGACTCATATTTGCCGAGCTCCAGCACTGTGCCCATCAGCAGTAACGGAGAAGATATGAATGCCGCTGCCTACTACGAGAGACTGAAGATCTTACGGCAACGGCGCGGCCTTGAGAACTCAACGGTTTGTCTCATTAAACCTTGAGTCGAGACACAATTGACTTTGTTAGTCTTTGGTTAGGAAGCTATTATATGAAAAAAGCTGATTTATGCAAATTCAATAGTGTTTTTCCTTGTGGCACCCAGCTTTACATAATATTTTTAAAAAAAAAAACTTTTTTTGACTAATTTATCAATACTTTTTTTTTTTTTGTTATAACAATATGATTTACTAATACCTTCAACAGCAAAATACGTTTTAATAACCCTAATTTGATGTATCAACTAATTTATTACATTCTAGGATTTATATAATAGTAATAACAATAACAGTGGTTTTAATGTAACTATTTAAATAAAAAAATTGATATTTTATATTAACTTTTTAATGACTAAATGTTAGGATTTATTTTAATTAAAACATTTATTTATATTATTTAAAAATGATTATCAAATAACAATAACGCTGTTTTTATTTACTTATTAGTCCGTTTTATTATATTCTAAAATTTAGTTAAGTGTAATTGTAATACATCAAATATTATAAATAATAAATATTTATTTCCTGTATTTGGTAAATATTAGTCTAAAATATTGATTGTCGTCAATAATTACAGTGAATCTGAGTTTAAGCTGTATTGATTAATAATATTTAATGTATTAACAATATTTTAATAAGAATAATAATGGTTGTTTCAACAAAATATTCATCTAAAAATTTAACTTTATTTTTTTTTTTCTCGTTTGTTTTATTTTTGATAATAATTGATGTATTAATACTTGAACAACTAAGCTTTTTAAGATTTATAAAATTGAGTTGTAAATATTTGCATGTTCTCCTGCAGCCGGAGGAAGACCGACCTCCTCTCAGCTCCCTGAGACCGTCGGTGGCCTCCTCCACAGACATGCTCCACAGCAAACTGTCCCAGTTGAAGGAGTCCCGCGAGCACTTCCAGCAGGAGCAGTCCCACTCCCACAGCCCCACCCGCTCCTCCTCCCCCGCCTCCAACCTCGACGACCTCAAAAAGAGGCTGGAGAGGATAAAGAGCAACCGCCAGTAGATCAGCGCCTCGCCTTCATATGCTAACGCACTAGATAGTCAGCTGACTTCCCCAAACTCCACCATCCCAACGTTTTTCAGGGTAAATGCGTACATGGATTACAATAATGCAAAATAGGATGAGGAAATCGAAATAACTCGGTCTGTCTACATTGTATAATATTAAGCAAACTTTTTCTGTAAGTATTGTGCACAGTTGTTTTTGTACATACAGTGGCTAACCACACTAGGCTTATACGTGTCCTTTAGGGTTTTCCGTGTACAGTTTTCCTGTGCAGAATGCTGTAATGTGTAACTGACGCTTGTTTTGTTTTTTTTATAGACATTTTAGAGAAATCTAAATTAATGCTGCTTTCACTTGGTCTCAACTTCTATCTGTTCAAAACTGTTTGCCATTTTTGCTGTTTTCTTTCTCATTCTTCCAAGCATCTCTGAAGCTCTCATAACTTTTGAAGGATTGATTCCTTTCTTTTAAGGAGCATGGCATGAAGTACCGGATCTTTCTTTATGTAAATAAAGTTTGCATTACTAAAGGCTGTTAATTCCATTTTTCTTTTAATAACGTTCCCAACATTTTGCACTCTAGTGGAATGTTGGTTATTGATGCATTGTTTTGTATTATCCAACTGGGATTAATGTTGAAGTGTTGCTATTAAGTTTAAGTGTATAATCTATAGTAAAAATGTCAATAAAGGTTTTTTTTTTTTTAATCTAATTTAACGAACTATACATTGATGCTCTTCTGAATTTTTACTTCAAGGGGCTGAGTGTGTCAGCTGTACAGTGCACAATACTATTACAATATAGATTAATGTACATAAAAACATTGTAAAAGTATTTAACGAACTATACATTGATGCTCTTCTGAATTTTTACTTCAAGGGGCTGAGTGTGTCAGCTGTACAGTGCACAATATTATTACAATATAGATTAATGTACATAAAAACATTGTAAAAGTATTGTATAGCTCTACACAAATGTGGGGTTTGAGTTTTTTTCTGCAAACATGGATTACATTAAAAGTAACAGTAAAGAATTTCACATTGTTACAAAAAAAATCCAATGCTGTAATTTGTAACTTTATATTCAGAGCAGGGTTATTGTTAACTAAAAATCATTACTGAAACATTTCTTTTTAATTTAAGTTGAAGTACTAAAATAACTCAAACTAAAGCTAGATATTAAAAACAAAAATATTAATCATTACAAACTAAAACAGTTACTAAAACTAAAATGGAAACAAAACTTAAAATATAATTCAAAATATTAACAAAATTATAATCGATTATCAATGATACTAAAATAACACTGCATCAAAGAATTGTGGGGAAAACTAAAAACGCAGTACAACTGTTTTTTTAACATTAAGAAATGTTTCTGGAGCAACAAATCAGCATGTTAGAATGATTTCTGAATGATCATGTGACAATGAAGACTGGAATAATTTACATTCAAATATATTAACATTTTAAATTCAAAATCCACGATATTACTTTTTACTGTATTTTTGATCAAATAAATGCAGCCTTGGTGAGCTTAAGAGACTTCTTTCAAAAAACATTAAAAAAAAAAAATCTAACAGCCCAAACTTTAGAACAGTTTTGTATTCTTGTGGCATAATCACTTTTTCCACATAGTTTATCAGATATTGTATCTGTTTCTTGACATCAGAATAAAAAGAAAATACCGTCCCAAATGATGCACCGGAAATCTTTACTGAGGTCATACATGACGGTCTGGGGTAGGTGGAGACTCATACTGGGATACACTTGTCTTGTCTTTCTCCTCCAGTGCCAGATACAGATACTGAGGTGCTCTTTCCTTGTGTCTACAAAAACAATATACAGATTTACTCATGTGTTTCTAAAACAAAAATGTGCTAGCATGCTTGTTCACAAGCCAATCAACATGGCAAAGATCTGCCCATACACTTCTAAAGCTACTCAAGCTACAGTTGGCTTTGTACCATCTTGAAAAACTAGATGAGGTACTTCAAAAAGGTCAAGTCATGTTGTCATAACCGTATTCTTCAGCAAATGATTTGTGTACCGAATGAGTCTCATTTTGAGAACGTGGATCGTGAAGATGGCGTCAGAGCAGTAGGTGAGGTAATCGTCCTCGTCCTCACTGGTCATGTTGAGATAGTTCTTCTGGTACCACAGCTGCTGCTTCTGCAACTTTCTCCTGAACAAACAAGCTCACCAGTTCACTAGAAGCTTTTTCTGGCCTTATTCAGGAAGGCGTAAAGTGACAAACCAAAGATTATATTGTGTTTCCATGCCTTTAATGGGCGGGTTTATCTTTTCAAACATTCAAATTCATCCAATCAGATTGTAACTGCTGATGTACTGCTAGCTAGCTTCTATGTTTTATGTTTGTACGCCATTATGAATTTACGTACACAGAAGGTGGTAAATCTTTTTGAATGAACTAACGTGCCTTTTCGATTCTGCTCTGGATGAGGCTGGCTTTGTTAAAGAGCTGCTGTTTAAACTCATTCCGACAGTCTGTCTTCAGCTGGAGTGTGTCCTGGCGTCTGAGGACTTCTGGGAGTCCCAGTCTGACCTGGAATGGAGCCAGCAGGTCCAGCTCTTTCTCTTTCTGCCGCTGCTTCTTTTCTTTAGCCATACGCTCCTGAGGAAGCGTATGGAAAAAAGCAAAAGGAACCAGAGGTAGGTGGGAGTTTGGATCAGTGTGATGAAAGCGGTTGACTGATTAAAGCCTTGATTCACCTTTTCTTCCATGTGCCGACGGGCCGTTTCATTCCTCGTAGGGTTGTAGATAGAAATCAGCAGATCATTATTACTGTCCTCCTTTTCTCTTGAAGAAAGGATGGACCTAACCTGAAACACACATGCTAACATCAACACGATAGTCTAGACGAAGACGGTTTTATAATGGTGCTTGTGAACTGCAATACCTCTTTTTCTGAATCTCTGATTCGTAGTTCAACATTCTCCTCTTCTCTCATCAATTCCACAAGAATTTCATACAACTGCAAGTTCTTGTATGGTTTTGCAGAAGGATCCACCTGAAGACACAAAATATAACAAAATGTGAAAGCAAACACGAAATATAAAACTTTTTCATTACTATTTTTCTATCCACAGCGAAAATGATCTCACAAGAAACCAAAAGTATTTTACAAAGTTGCAAGTACATACAAATTCATACATTGTTGGTATGATTATAATAAACCCCACTCCTAAACCTAACCCTCAGTGGGGAATTTGCAGGTGGTTCGAAAACGTACAAATGAGTACAAATTCGCCACCAATTTGTCAAAGTGAAAAATAGTTAAGAATTGTCATAAGACTGTCTTGGACACATCACCCAATCATTTAGTTCTTCTTTTCTTTTTTTTGACAGAGTTCGCGCTTTCTTTAAAATCCAGATATGTTAAAGGGGTCCAGATTTGGACCAATGAGATTTTACTGTGGGCGGGGTTATGCATTGTGACATGACAGAAACCAAAATGTCTTTGCTGTTCCATTTTGTGTTTTCTATTAATTTCTCATAATATTAAGACCTAATTTTTTACTTTGTTCTCATAAAATATTACCATTTTAATCTTCAGCTTTTTTTCTTGAAACTTGGACTTTATTCGATGTCAACCCACAGGCTAAAAGCTAAATTAAAACAATACAATAAAACAAACAAACAATATTTATTCAGAATATTTATAATATTTTTATAGTTATATGTATAATACTTATTTAAGAAAGTGTCAATGTGAGAATTTGTACTTATTGACAACACAGGCTAAAATAAATAAAATAAAATGTATTCATGATATTTATAAGATTGATCTATTTATGAAAGTGACAAAGCGAGTTTGTACTTAATGTCAACACAGGTTAAAAGCTAAATGAACATGCTTTTAAATAAATATTTAATACTTATTATTTAAAATATTTCATAATTATTCAATATTATTAAATATCATCAGAATAATTTAAAGGCATTATTTAAATGATGAATTCAATTCTAATGATGATTATTTAAATTACAGAATTATCATTTCTGGGTGAACATCCCTATAACATGCTTTTAAATACATAAATCTTGCTTAATTCATTTGTTAATATACATTTATACAGATCATCATATATAATTATATACATATAAATAATTACTAAAATATAAAAATACTATAATTATTATATTGTATTATTATTATTATTTATTTATTTATTTATTTATTTAAAGGCATTATTTACAGTGCTATAGCATGCTTTTATATCAATAAATATTATTTAAAAGTTAATTTGTTAATATAAATATACATGAACAACATGACAGGGTATGTTGGGACTGAAAACAAAAACGTTTGCAAAGGTCTTACAATCAAGGTCTTTGTTTGGTCACCAGACCATCTTTCAGAAGGTAAGGAGCAAACTTCTCCAGCTTGGCTTTCCTGTTCTGGATAACCTTCATACCCCCTGGATAACGCATTTCCATCTATTAGGATAAAAAAAAAAAAAAAAACATGTATGATTAATTAACCTCAAGAGATATTAGATAATGGATGAAAGGCAACCGAAAGTGCAATCTTGCTTGTTGACCCAGTAGTTTTGATGGTTCCAGACGCTCTCTATGCTCAGGAAGTTCTCATTGGTGGTGGAGTAGCTCTTGCCTGTCAGAGGGTCAATGAAGAAGTTCTCAGGTTCTCACCAGAACCCAGCAGTGAACTCTCAAGCCCCGAAGAGGGTCAGTTGGTGGACGTTCTTGCTCCTGTTTAAGAGGAACCGGTGAGAATGCAAGACAAAAATCAAATGGAATTTCATTGAAACATTCTTTGTCCAACCTTCTGAAGTCTCTCTGCATCCAGTTGTTTCTTCAGTGCGGCTGCTTCAGCTTCTGCTTGCTGTTTCTGCTCTTGACGCTTTTCAAAGTTGCTGTGCAAGTCGCGTGGGGGTTTTACAGAGTATTTCTTGATTTTCTTCTTCGGTTCCTCTGTTTTATCCTGAGCAGGCCATGCAAAATCATAACATGAATAATGCATCCAGTTTAGATTTTCAGAAAGAACTGATTTCAGCCACTCAAGGAAATTTGTGTTCAAGCTGTGATCTTTGACAGATGCTCTACAACCTCTAGGGTATCTGTGGAAATACTTCAGGGAGGATGCCAATTATAAATTGATCTCAAACAAAATTTTGCGAAAATACATAAAATATGTGAAAATACAATATTAACAACAAAACAAAAAATGAAAAAAGCTCAATTTCAGCTACACATTTCATTGTCCCACCTAGGCCTGGGCGATAAAACGGTATCGATATTTATCGACGGTACACCTTCTTCGATGACGATATGAAAAATGTTTGATATAGTGCACGATATAGGCACGTGCTATGAGTGACGCAGACAGCACACACAAACACGAACATGAGGACTGTGCCTGCCTGTGATGAGGAGATTGTGAGTAAAGAATTAATATTAGTCGAATTTTTAAAATAAATATTTGCATTTGAATGCAAAAATAGTACAATCCAATGTTAGATGAGCGTCATCAGTGGAGCACGAGATGCGGTGATGATGATGTAAGTGACGTTGAACCTTGTTTGATTCCTTTGTCAATTGAGAATCTTGAAGATATACCATGTGGTAATATAACTGCTATTTGTGTCTTTATAAATTAATTTAACTAGATTAATACAATTTTCTCCAAAACCAAATAATTCTAAAGTACAAAACATAAATTTGTGTTCGATAATGTCAAAAGCTTTAAAAAAGTCTAGAAATAAAATGAAACCATCTTCA